TCCCTATGACTTCTTTGCTGGGTGATACTGGACAAGTGGCTACATGTCTCTGAATCTCTATTTTCTCATTTAAAAAATACATATAAATCCTAATAGCTGTGAGCAGTGTTCTTTTGAGGATGAAAAGAGTTAAGCACATAAAACACTTAACCCAATGCCTGTTTCACAGTTAGCACCCCACTGGGTGGGACTATGTGAGTAGACAGGAGCCCTGGTGGTGCAACGGTTAAGCACTCAGCTGCTAACTGACAGTCGGTGGTTCGAACCCACCCAGTGGCTCCACTGGAGAAAGATGTGACTATCTGCTCTCGTAAAGATTACAGCTTGGAAAACCCTATGGGGTGGTTGTCCTCTGTTACATGGGGTCACTATGAGTTAGAATGGACTCCATGACACCCATCAACAACAACAAATGGGTGGATGGAGCAGGAGCAGGTTCGTTTGGACACCTACATGGCCTTTGACAGGGGTCTGCGGTAAATGCTGTTTCACCAGCTGGAGGGACAGTTTGGCTATAGGTTGGCAACAAATTTTGAAGATTAAGTGTTTTTTCCTGTATAAGCTTTTGCTGTCATGTCGATTTTGACTCATGGCAAACTTCTGTGTTACAGAGTAGACCTGCTCCACAGCGTTTTCTTGGCTGTAATCTTTCTGGAACGAGATTGACAGCTTTTTCTTCTGTGACACCATTGGGTGGGTTTGAACTGGCAACCTTTTGGTTGGCATGGAAATGCTGAGGAATTCCCAGGATTTAGGGTGGAGGGTCGACGAAAGAGGGGAAGGCCACGAGATAGATTGACACAGTGGCTGTGGTGATGGGCTCAAGTATAGCTAGGATCATGGAGCTGGTATGGGACTGGATGGTGTTTCGTTCTGCTGTGCATGGGGGGTCGCTATGAGTCAGAGATGACTCGATGGCACCTAACAACAACAACAACAGGCTGGGTCTGAAGTAATACAATTTAAAAATAAATGATTAACCAGTATTTACCGAGCCCCTGCGTGGGTCTGTGACTGTGCAAGAAAATAAAAAAGTAGATGCAACCCGGTCCTGCTCTTGAGGAGTTCAAAGCCAAGTATCAGAGCTATATCAGTACACGGATAATCAAAAGGGTTTATGAGTTTATGATAAGGGGTAGAAGAAGTTTATACAAAGTATTAAACAACAACAACAACAACAAATAAAGCAAAACGCAAACCCAGTCAATTTCCATTCTTGGCAACTCCACGTCTGACAGAGTAGAACAGCCCATAAGATTTTCTTGGCCGGGCTCTTTATGGAAGCAGATAGCCAGACTTTCTTCTGTGGTGCCACTTGGTGGGTTCAAACTGCCAACTTTTATGTCAGTAGTCAAATGCAAACTATTGGACCCACCCAGCCATCTTATACAAATTATTGTAGGAGCACCAAAGAATAAGCAACTGAGTTTGTGAATAAGATGGAAAGCTTTACAAGGAAGCTATCCCTTGACAGGTCTCGAAGTATCAGTTGGAGTTCAGTTGCTGCCCAAGATGGAGGAAGAACATACCAGTCAAGAGAAATGGTGCATAAAATTATGAAGAAGAGAGAAATTGCATTCACCAGTCAGTGATCTTCAGTACTTTATCCTTCTAGGGTAAGCATATTTGAAATTATTTGCCATGTGAGGGGCACTAAACTCTCACAGTCATCCTTTCTATTAATCTTCACAGCAATGCATTGTTACCCATCTTATGTATCAGGAAACTGAGCTTGAATAACTTCCTAATGTCATATTGCTACAAGATGGTTGAGCTGGGATCCAAGTCCATTTTAATCTAACTCCTGGATGCACTCTTTTCTTTTTTAAATTGTAGTGATAATGTTATTGTTGTTGTTAGGTACTATAGAGCTGGTTCAGACTCATAGTGACCATGTGTAAACAAACAAACAAGCAAAAAAAACAACCTCACTGCCGTCAAGTCAGATCTGACTCACAGCAACCCCTCCTTGAGTTTTCAAGGTGATATTACTATGGAAGTAGATTTCCCAACCTTCCTTCTGGGTAGTGGCTGGTGGGTTTGAACCGCCAGCCTTCTGGTTAGCAGTCAAGTGCCTTAGGCACTACGCCATGTGTACAACAGAACAAAACACTGTTCCATCCTGTGCCGCCCTCACATTTGTTGCTATTCTCGAGGTTAGTGTTGCAGTCACTGTCTCAATCCATCTCATTGAGGGCCTTCCTCTATTTTACTGACCCACTACTTTATCAACTTGATGGCACATAACAGCAACATAACAGCAACTTTACCAAGAATGACGTCCTTATCCAGGGACTGGTCCTCCTGATAATGTGCCCAAAGTATGTGAGAGGAAATCTCGACATCCCCACTTCTAAGGAACACTGGCTGTATTTCTCCCAAGACAGCTTTGCACATTCTTGTGGCAGTCCATGGTATAGTCAATATTCTTTATCAACATCATAATTCAAATGCATCAATTCTTCAGTTTTCTTTATTCATTGTCCAGCTTTTGTATGTGTATGAGATGATTGACAATACCACAGCTTGAGTCAGGTGTGTCTTAGTCCTCAAAGTGACATTTTTTACCTTTTAACATTTTAAAGAGGTCTTTTGCAGCAGATTTGCCCAATGTAATGCCATTTGATTTCTTGACTGCTGCTTCCTTGGGCCTTGATTGTGGATCCGAGTAAAATGAAATTCTTGACAACTTCAATATTTTCTCTGTTTATCATAAATGTTTATTGGTCCAGTTGTAAGGATTTTTGTTTTCTTTATGTTGAGATGTAATCCATACTGATCTTCATCAGTAAATGCTTCAAGTCTTCTTCACTTTCAGCAAGCAAGGTTGTGTCATCTGTGCATCACAGGTTGTTAATTGGAGTCTTCCTCCAATTGTGATGCCTCCTTCTTCATAAGATCCATCTTCTCAGATTATTTGCTCAGCAGACAGATTGAATACCTATGGTGAAAGGAGACAACTCTGATGCATACCTTTCCTAATTTTAAACCGTGCAATATCCCCTTGTTTTGTTTGAATGACTGCCTGTTAGTCTATATATAGGTTCCACATGAGCACAATTAAGTGTTACAGAATTCCTGTTCTTCTCAATGTAATTCATAGTTTGTTATCATCCACACATGAATGCTTTGCATAGTCAATGGAAGTAGATCCATTGGTGGTAATATATACAGCAAAACATACTCCATCTTAACAATTTCTGCATGTACTATTGAGTGACATTGATTACATTGTTCAAGTTGTACAACCATTCTTGCTATACTTTTCCAAATCATTCTGTCACCATTAACATAAACTCAATGCTCCCTAAGCAGAACCTTTCTTTTTTCCCCTACCTCCCACAGCTGGTAACCACTAACAATCTTTTGTTTCTATATATTTGCTTATTTCATAATAGTAAGATCATACAGCATGTGTCCTTTTGTAACTGACTTATTTCCCTCAGCCTGATGTTTTCAAGGTTTGATGTTGTGGCATGCATGAGAACTTCATTTCTTTTTACAGCTAAGTAGTATTCCACATTCTGTTCATTGATGCCACATTTTGTTTATTGATTTTTCTGTTGACAGTCATTTCATTTGTTTCTCCCTTTTGGCTATTGGGAATAGTGCTACAGTGAACCTTGGTTTCTGTTTGCATTCCTGCCTCCACGTATTTACCTAGGATTCAGATTCTGAGTCATCTGGCAGTTCTATGTTCAACTTTTTGAGGTGCCATTAAATTGCTTTCCACAGTGGCTACACCATTTTACATTCCCACCAGCAATGGATGAGGGTTGCAATTTCTCCTGAACTTTGAAATTTTGACTGCAAGGGTCA